GGGGATAATAATCAATGTAATGAAACAAGCTATATGAATGGTTGAATGTGAAACTGATGATGTGCCCTGTAAACTTTCACTCAATGCAAAATAAAAACATTTAATTAAAAAAAAAAAAAAAAGATAGATTGTCAGTAAGTGATTTGTTTTCTAATTCTATTAGGATTAGAAATTATCCATGCTTTCCTTCTCCATTTTTTCTTTTCTTTTTTTCTTATGTTATTTAGTTCAAAAATGAAATGAAGATGCTAGCATGCCTTCCTGATGAAGGATTTATGCTCTATATCATAGGGCTTGTTAAAGCAGGTTTGGAGTATGGTGTTTTTCTTTTTTTCCTGGCGAAATTGAGATTTAATTGTTACCTTTTTATATGAATGTGCTTTGGGATTCAAAGTAATGAAAAGGGCATACAGATGTCAAATTCGATGTAGCATAGTGGTATTATGTGCTAAGGTCCAGAGCAGTACAGACCAAATATCAGTTCAAAGAGTTCTCGCTTAATAAAATGTCAGATGACCAACTTTTGTTTTAGCTTTCTCAATGTCTATCAAAAGTTCAAATAAAGTTTTGGTGGATTAACCATTTATATTTCTTTCTTATTTTAGCCATTTGTAAAAACAAAGGCATTTTGCTATACAGAATAGGGGATTCATTTAAAGGAAAGACAATTTATAATAGAACAACACATGCTGTACACAGCTTTATACCTACTAAAGCATCATAAATTTGGCTTTAAATATAAATTCTAATTATGTTATGCAACAGAACCTATACCTAAATATCATATATTAGACATGGCCATAATACTTTTGTACTGTACTTTATTGATAAGTATGAAAGCATATCATTCTTAATTTTATTTTACTTTTCAAATCACTGTAAGGAAATAATCATCTTGACTAATTCTATAGATTTTTTTTTTAAAAAAGCATGATCTTCATAACAACCTGGAGAGTTGTTTACAGGCATTAACTCAAACAACTCTGTGTTGGAAGAAGTACAGACAGAATTCTTCTTAGAAAACAGGATGGTCAGACTTTGTGTTTCATATTTTGAACATATTTAAGAGGAACCAGTCCCTGGAGAAGGACGCCATGTGTGGTAAAGTTGAGGGTCATCAAAAAAGAGGAAGAAAACAGTGAAATAGACTGGCACAGTGACAGCAGCAATGGGCTCAAGCAATAGCAATGATTGTGAAATTGGTGCAGGACCAGGCAGTGTTTTGTTCTGTTGTACATGGGTCGCTATGAGTTGGTGCCAACTTGGCAGCATCTAACAACAACAATAAGAACAACAACAACTCATTTAATGATTTACTTTACACACATTTTCCATCATCAAGAGATTTGGATGGATTTAAAACCAACTGTGATTTTTTTTCTTCTTCTTAAATTGCAGTATCTTGAGTATTTAAAATTTAGAGCAGTGATTGCAAACTGATAGCCTATGAGATAGATTTAGATCACAAATGGGCTTTGTTTTGTCTACACAGTGTTGTTTCCTTGATTTTTATTGAATTACCATCACTTAAGAATTGGAAAACTTCCTATAAAAATCTGGATTTACAGCTTCTCTTAAAATGTCATATAGTAGCCAACACTGCATTCTCACATAATAGCCATCAGATGTGTTGAGTAATAGCTGCTATCTTTGGAAAGAATATACATTCTCTAGGATTCCTGGTTTGGTGATGTTGGATAAGCACTGAACTGCTAGCCACAAGGTCATTGGTTGAAACTCACCAGCCACTCCTCAGAAAATTTATACAGGGTCACGATGAGTTGAAACCAACTCGATGGCACTTAACAACAACAACAGCGACCATAATCCCTACCACCATCTATTGCTTATGTTGTTGTTGTTGAGTGCTGTTGAGTCGATTACAATCCATAGCGACCCTGTATAGGGTTTTCAAGGAGTGAGTAGCTGGTGCACTTGAACCACTGACCTTGAAGTCCAAATGGCTTTGCAGTCTGGCACATTAACCCACAGTGCCACACGCGTCTCCTTTATATTTCCAGTCTTGCCTCGGTAGGCATTAGAGTTTGCAACTGTCCTGGTTTCTCTGTGGTTTATGTGAGTAAATCAGTGTATACACTTTCAATAATATTTCATGTTTTTTCACAGATTGTAGAAAATGTAAAATCCCATCATATACACACACATGAGGACTTTTAAAAGTTCATGGAAAAATGAAATTTAAAGATTATGAAATTTCTTCATGAATTTTTGAAGCTCACTCATATATAGTGTTCTGATTATTTCACACCAGGACTCCGATTAATACAGAAGTAAACTTATATTGTTATTAACTACTGTTACATGTAATTAAAAGAAGTAAGTTGACACTCATTTGCATATCATTTTACAGGACAATAAAAATAAAAACCAATTTTATATAAAATCAGAAACACTTTCAATATCCCAATCCTACACTCAAATCTTAACATTTAAAGCTTTTCTGTTAACTTCATTTATTAATTAAATCTCATGGGTTTTAATCCTCCCAGTATTAATGTCAATGCAATAGTTTGGCACTTAAGGAGGCAAATCCACTGCTTCAGGTCACTTGAATATTATTTAGCATGCCTGACATTTACAACTTATTATAATACAGAAAATATCCCAGATATCTGAAAAAAACACCACAGTGATTTTCACTTTCTATGTTGAAACACAGGGTAAATTACAAGGTTAGGCCCACAGTCCTACAACATTTTTCTCATAGAAAATTATGGAGAACACATGCATCAAGAGCAGCTCTAAATAAATAGGAAAACAGTCACCAAATGGTGATTTAACCTAAGAAGGATGTGTGGAAGAGAAGAAGGACACAATTACCAAGAAATATCAAAACTTACTCTAGCATCATGGGTTACCTTCCTTTTCCACTGCCTGAGTCACACCCATTATTTTTCCCACTAGAGCCTAAAAGGTGTGAAAGCTAGAGCAATGTGGTATCTCTGAGCACAGTAGGATAAGCACTGGACTGCTAACTACTAGGTTTGTGGTTCAAACTCACCAGCCACTACTCAGAAAAACTTTATAGAGTTGCTATGGGTCAAAATCGACTCAACAGAACTTAACAACAATAATGTTTAAAGAAGCTTCAAATTAGAAGGTCTCGTTCTTTTTTTTTACCATTGTTATGTTGCTATTGTTGATAAGTGCCATCAAGTTGGTTCTGACTCATAGCAACCCTGTGCAGTGTTTCCAAGGAGCAACTGGTGAGCTTGAACCACCGACCTTGAAGTTCAAACCTACCTTTCAGTCCAGCACATTAACGCACATTGCCACACCAGGACTCCTACTATTGCGACTGCACTCTTAATAACTTATTTCTTCCTGCAGAATTGAATTTACCTTCCTAAACATTTCAAAGCCAAGGAGCAGAGAAGTGGTTATCCAAATTACTTTCCCATTAGTTTTCAAAGATGTCACCATTTTTGTGCAACCTTCACTCAACTCCTACTGACTTTAAAGCCTTTCTCTAACTTATCTTTTAGTTCTGAAGGAGGGAGTTATTCCCTGTATTTGGAAGCCACCTCCCCACCACATAGTCCTGGGATCAATTCCCAGTTAATAGATAATGGTGACATCAAAACTATGATATCCCACTTATTCAAACACTCAGATAGATGGTTCTACTTAACTGTTCAGATTCGAATTAGCTGTTTGGATGTTATTATTGCTCTTATTAATGAAAGATTGTTGTTGTTGTTGTTACGTGCCGTCGAGTCGGTTCCGACCCATAGCGACCCTGTACAGGGTTTCCGAGGGTGTAAGCAATATTTATCATCAGCTGCTGATATGGTGCTGCAGGATCAGCACTGCACTGCGAACCACAAGATCAGTGGTTCAAACCAATCAGCAATTCCTCGGAAACCCTATACAGGGTCACTATGAGTCGGAACTGACTCAACAGCACTTAACAGCAACAATAACAACAAATATTGGCTGCTGAAAATTTTAAATGGCTTTAGTATCCTATCTCAGTACGTATAGTACAGGGAACAAATAATTAAAGTCATGCTGAAATGTTATAAGATCCAGGACATTCCCAGGAAGTTGATTTTTAAAAAATAAATACATAAATACCTGTTAACAGCTTGTTTTCTTGTCATTTGCCTCTTCCTTCTAAAAGGAGAGTGTAGCAATAAATAAATAAATAAATAACACTGGTTAATTAAGAGTTCTGGTTGGTTAACTTCCAATTAATCAAGGCTTTATTATATTTCACACAAAATTCTCTTTTTCTTAAACTCTGCAGAAATTGTAGATAGGTTACACATAATGAAACACCAGAATGGAAGAGCATAAAGAATTTAGAAAACCCTGATTTTCTAGTAGTGGTTTAAATATACAGATTATAGTACATTTCTGGTCTAGGCCCCATTGAGTAGGGACTAATGTGAAATGTCATGTAGTTTAGGGCTTTTCTGTATATGAAGGCAAGGAAATAAGGTTATAGGTTTCTGTTGAAAAAATGGTCTCAGATCGTAACAATTCTAAATAAAGATTAAACAATATGATGTCTTTTCCCTTTCTCTCAAGACTCTTCATTCCCATCTCAGTTAAGTATTCCAATATATTTGGGGAGACCATCACCTTTGAATCTGTTTTTCCTCATTTTTTCTTTTTTTTTAAATTTAGCTAACAGGATGACTAAAGTTGTGCCTTAATTTCCTAAACAAGAGCCACTAATCACATATCTCAGGATATACTTATTTCTGGAGCAAAACTGAGCTATCTTACATCATTCCCACAAGGGCTACACATGCATGTACACATACATACATACATACATATAGTCATACACATATCTACTATGGAAAATTAATAAAAATGAGATTAATAAAACCCCACATCATTAGCTTAACTAATGACCATTCTTTCCAGTAGCATATTATTTCCTAGCATGTCCAACACTTTTAATGTAGAAAAAAAATCTAAAATGACATCATAAGCATATTTATCTATCGATCGATCGATAGATAGATAGATAAATGGTGTGTAGCTGTAGGATGAGCACTGGACCCCAACAAGGTCCATTTAAACTGCAAGGTCGGTGGTTCAAATCCACCATCCATTCCTTGGAAACCCTATACAGGGTCACTGTGAGTGAGAACTGACTCGACGGCAATTAACAAGAATAACAACACACAGACATATATATCTTTATACTGGACTGCAAACCAAAAGGTCGGCAATTCAAACCC